GACATCCACTTTTCTTGGAGGTTAAGAGGAAGTTTGTTGACAATAGGTGCCACGCCCCTCGCTGTGTCCAGGAAAGAGAGCCCAGGTAAGTAGCCTCCAAGCTTTGCTGACTCCACTTCTTTGAGCAGATCTGCAAGTTCTCTTAACTTTTGGGGTTCTCTATTGCTCATTTTAGGGAAACAATCCAGCTTATCAAAGAGTGTTTTCTCAATTATTTCAACACTCCCAAAGCTTTCTTCTAGACGGGACCATGCCATTCTACAACCGGCTGCTGGATCAGCGACGTGAACAGCTCTCACTCTTTTGACTTGTTCTGAGGATTGCGGTCCTAGCCACCTTGTCAGAAGATCAAGCTCCTCGCTTGGGGTGAGTGATAATCCTTCTAGAGCATTCATAAATGATGACTTCCAGGCTAAGTAGTTTTCCGGCCGATCGTCAAATTTACTAAGCCCTGAGTTCACAAGCTCACGACGCACCAGGTATCTAGCTATTTCACTCATACCTGCATGGTTTGTCGAGGGTGGCTGTTGCGTTGAACCGCTGAGATAGGAAGTCTGAGGTTGTCTCACTTTCTCTGAAACCGGAATTTGTCCATAGGCTTTGTTATGAGACATTGATGTGTATGGCAGGTTGCCAGGAGTATGCTGGGGAAATGATAAGTGTGTACTGGGCATTCTAAGCTGGCTTATAGTGTATGGTCTAGGAGTTGAAATGTGGTTAAGTCTGTCAACGTTCTGTGTGGCATCGCTCGTGACAGCCGTGGTGGGAAGCACAGGCAAGATCATAAACTGTTCGTGATCACGGGAGTCAGGCTCTGCTTTAACATGAGGGAGACAGTGAAAACTTGATCCAGAAAGACTGTCCACATAGTCCTTTGTACGCTTTTCAATAGTCTCCTGTGGAAATGCTGTGACATCAGTCGCCATATTCATTTCTCCTGTCTCGATTTCTGATACAGCCGCTTCAAGAAACTCAGCCTCTGCTGCTGCCGCTGCAAACTCCTTTTTATGCTGTAGTGATAACAGTTCAGATTCCAGTTTAGCTCTTTCTAGCAGTACCTCAGCCTCTCTTTCCACAAAGTTTGTACGTGCTCTCACTGCTTCTGCTTTAGCTCGTGCTCTGGTTGCCGCCATACTCGCAGCGGACGATCTTGAGCTCTTGGAAGATGCAGATATCACCGATCTGGTTTCCAGTTGACTGAGTGAGGCATGTGATGTGGTCAGTTGTTGCTGTTGCTCTTCAGTTTTCTCTTTAACATCCATCTTGAGTCAACTGTGATGGGTGGAATAACTGATAGCTGTCTTTCTCAGAAGTGTTGTCTTCAGCCCGTCGTGATGCTTTTTCACTAATCTGTCCTCTGCATGCGTGTGCGTTGGGCATGCATATACAGATAGTTAAACACTATATAACGTGATGAAGAGGCTTCAATGACCACTCAGAGGATGTCAATTATCTTCTTTACTTGAGTGCAATCATGTTGTTTCTCTCTCAATGTTACATTATTTTTGTGAAAAAGCAAAGCTTCTCTGGGGCTTTACACAACGACACTGGAATCCGGAGTAAACAGCACGCGATTTCTCTGCTGCGCAGAACTGGAAAAATGGCTACTGAGGTTTGCGTGATTGTCGCTATGAAGCATAACAAATAAAGTTTTCTCAATGGTAGTTTAACTAAAACTATAGCAAACAGCGCCATCTAGTGGGGAAAAATGGCTAACTTTAGACATGACATAATACTCTTAATAGTGCATTTCAGCGAAGAAAGAAATATAAAGTATAAAGAAATAAATAATATATATAGTCAATGACGTGATGGTCTTTTTTTTTTGGTCTGAATTAAAATGCAAATCATACTTAAATTGATTTTTTTTTTTTAATACCTCTTCTATGTTGTTTTTAATTTCTAAATTAAAATTAATTTTTGACATTTTTTGGGGGCATAAGCTCAAAAATACTTTCCTCATATCATAATGAAGAAAGAAGCCCAGTTAAAAGAAAAAAGAACATTTAAAAAGAGTTTTTATTTTTATTATTTTAAACAAGGGAAATCAAAAGTCATGTGGTACAACCAACAAGTAGAAAGAAAACATTAAACAGCAAATGATGTCAGAGAGACACTGCAGACATTAACTGTCTATCAAGGTCAAGTTTATTCAAATCTATGATCATTTTATCCATTTTATCTATGACAGAGCAAGATTAGTTCAGGTTCTAAGATGTCATGTGGTATAACCTCCCCCAAAAAAAAAATAAAAAAAAAAAATAAAATACATTTAGGAATTAATGTTATCACGTGTTACTTGCCCACATGAATCTGTGATTTTGAACTTTTGGTAAAAATAGTATACGTTTTTTAAGGCCACATGATGCTAAGTAATCAGTAATTCTATGTAGAAGCGCTTTGAGTGCAGAGAAAAGCGCTATATAAATGTAATGAATTATTATTATTATTATTACTAAAGATTACATTTAGAAGAACCTGCCATTTTCAACTACTTTTATTTTATTTTGTTCCCTTTCCATTATTTTTCACACTTGTATTTGTCATTGACCCCTGTACTTTTTCTCTTCTGCAAAGCTGAAGAAATTGTGCTCTAACTTGATCTTTATACATAGCTAAAGTTATCTGACCCCAAATACAGTCCCCAGAGTACATCAGCAATTTTAACAAGAAAGTAAGGAAAGCCCGGTTTTGCTTTAACCTGAGGTGCAACATCTCATAAAACCTTTACCAAAAGATTCCCTATACATGGCTAATCACAACTATATCAAGAGCCTGAAATCAGTGTGTGTGTATAAAGTGTGGCTGGACTAAAGATCTTCTAAATCTCTAAACTTCCTCTGGCTCTGAATGGGAACCACATGCTGCTGCACAGTACGGTTGTTCCCTACTCACTCAATGGACTGCTCTGGGGCATAAGTTAGCCTTCCCTCCCTCAGTCCAGACTCCAGCATCATGGATTCATAATCCAAACCAATGTGGTTAACAAGTTACCAATTAGCCCAGCATTAACAGATCTCCAGTTTGCTCTTGCTGTCACCCACAATGACAGCCATGCCAGAACAGTGTGCACGGAGGTAAAATACGATAGGAGGGAATCCTTTCACCCATAAAAACAGATTGGGTTGGGGGGTATACAAAGGGAACTGCCAGCTGAAATTGCAGCCTCCTCACCACATGGCAAACTCACTTTCCCCATAATGTGGAGAGAGCTCTAGGGAAATATTACTGCCTGCATGAAGACGTTAAGAGAAGTTTACAGGCAGACCATACACATTCCTGCAGACTTAGGCAACACCGCTTTAAAAGTAATACTAAGGGGTTGAGAATGTGTGTGTGAAGGAATGATATTTTCACCCTTTTAAGAGATCTAGCATTAAAAGTCATAAAACATGGCAGGTGGGTCAACACATCCCTGGCAAGTGAGAGTAAGCTCCACCATTAAATAATCACTTGCACTCTAAATTAGATTCCCTATAGCTTCATATAGACCCCATTGACTGTAAGGAGTTTAATCACTCCGTAGATTCAAGGACAAGTCTGATACTTGCACAATGATCCACATCTGCACATTCCATATGGTTTGATTTGTTTTGTACACTGATATTACTAATAATAATAAAAAAACTCCTTGATCTGCTATTTCTTTCATCTTACATTTTTTATTTTATTATTTAATGAAATATCTCATTAGTTTGCATTTTTTCCTTGCCAAAACCTACAACTGAGTGTAAGCAACAATGTCAGACAATCTGGATGTCATTGTTTGAGCACAGACTCTCCATCAGAATGGAATCAGTGTGGACATCTGGATACGATCTGAAGTTATGAGGCGGGGACTCCCATAACCAGATAGCATCTAATCCACAGGAAAGGTAAGGTGGTAAGGCAGATGATTACATTTCACTACTTTCATTTCCACTATTGGGCTTTTCACACTATTGTTAACCAAGAGCCATTCTAACGCTGAGCAAAGGTCACATTTCACACTGTTTATACCTTTACTAAGTGGTAAGGTGCATTTGGCGGCCAAAAAAGGACCATTGTCTAATGTAAATAGTGTAACGATATGAAACACAGCACTGAACAGCTTTCTGTTGATCAGCACGGGGAATTTAGATGAGCAACTTGAACCCGTTGCGAAATCTGTGAAATTTAAGATCGTGTGAATTCCTATTGAAATGACTGGATTTCACCTGAGAAAGAGCAACAGTAAACGTGACCGTACTTTTTAAGATTTCACACTGGACATCTGTAAAGTTCTTATTTGCATATTTAAGAGGTAAACAACTTTGATTGGACAAATACTTGTTTCAATAACAGCTTTTCCATCTGTGAAAATATCGGCATGCAAGCAAAAAACAAATAATGCCGTCTCTTCTTTACTCAAGTTTGTGCTTGCCATCACTGTTTGACATTTTTATTTTTGCACAGATGTTAAAACTAAACATTGCATGTGAAAGTGTCTGTTATTGTACAAAGAACATGAATATTTAATGAGGTATGAACTGTTTATTTTATGATTGGTTGTCAGTTGCTGAACAATTTGCTGTAACATTCTCATAGCACTGAACTTCAGTGTTAGTACTGTTATCAGGTTCATAACCATGGGTTAAAAGTGATGATAACCCTGTTTTAAGTTACAAATGGTAATTTTTCGCTTAATGCAGAGCTAAATATGGGTGTAAAAGACGATTACCCATGGTTAAGGACAAGTGTGAGTGTCTGCAGTCAACAAACATGTCCCATTCAAACAAAAAAACTCAAGTCATGTTTCACTGAGAACTGAAATACACTGATAATAGGCACAGTCACGAAACCAAGCAATCTGACGCTGTATCTGCATAGTTTGTGGTATTAATCAAATTTATACAGAAAGATATGTACACAGCGGCTGAAATTAAACAAAGAAAAGAGCACAAGATGGGGGTCAAAATTGTTCCAAGTATAAAGTTCCCCTAAAACTCTTCACAAAACAACTAAATTACAGCTTCACTTATAGGATGACTACGTTTCTCTTCTAGCTAATGAGACCTTACTGATAGATAATGTGTTTGTTGAACGCTCTGGACTACCATTAAAGTTTCATTACATTACATCTCATTTTTAATACGCTAAATTCCTCCGTGTTGTGAAAACACCATGTGCTCAATCTGTCGTCTCATTCGATACTCTGTAGAAAATTATCGAGTTCTACATCTCGCCATCATTCATAACACATGAGTGCACTGACATCAATTCGCGTCTGTAAATGCAACTTCCTTCCTTTTCAAAACAAAGACATTTGTTCAGACCCAAAGCATATTTTTCTCAAAACAAATCTGTCTTGTGTCTTGACATGCGAAAAAGTATCTAGAATGCAACGAGAGGTGTAAAGCGTTCACCGCTCATCTTGGTCACACAGTTTGCAGGGCTCTAGATCACTTCTTCCTGTCGTCTGGGAATTCCTGCCACCGATGTTTAATGTGGGACCATGCAGCACACGACTGTCACAAGCACACATTCATTCCAGATGTATCACGCCATATCAAAGCCAAGATCCACTAAGCAGCACTGCGGCCTGGGCGGCGGGAATACCGATTAGATGCTTTATGGCGTCTATAAAAAACAAAAGAAAGAAATCTGAAATCTGAAAACAGCACTCTCAGCTTCTTAAAAAGCTCTTTCAGCTTCCACTGCGATCTTGTGGCTTCGTTTTCGAAGGTAACTGTGAGGGTTCCTCTGCTCAAAGAAAATATTTGCTATGCTCGGTCCATGAAAGTGAGATCAGCTCTCAGCATGCTGTCCAAGATGGAGGTTTTATGGTGGGGGAACACAAGCATAATGTGTTGAGTGATAAAGAACTATACGAATTTGTGAAGTTTTGGAGTGGTAAGATTCACTTCGCTGACTGACCTGAGCTCCCAGTTTCTCTTCCGCCCCACCAGCATCCTACCTGAAATGGAATCTCACAAGTCAGGGTTTTTTTTGTTGCTTTTTGATGTCAAAGACACACAAATATTTTATGATCCGCTTGAAAGGGACCCTCTTTAGAAAATATAAATGCAGCTATACTGTATATTTCCAAGTATAAATACACATTTTATACTGTGTGTGAAAAAATATGCAATTATAAAAACATGTTTTTACAAATGACCTGATATAAAGTAATTTTTATAAATGACTTTTATCCGATACCAGTACCTCCTCGGTATTTTTTAAACGGTTCCGGTGCTTAAACGGTTCTTGAAACGGTACTTAAGAAAACGAAACCGCACACACTTTGTCAAAAAATAATACCCCTTTATTTACAGGGCCAAACTGGACACAATATTAACTTATATCTTTAAACAATATAAATACAAGTAACATATGGTAATAATAAATAAACCAATATAAAATAAAAAATTCACATTACATAATATCAAATAAAACAATATAGTATCAAACAATGTAATAATACTGGAGATTAACAGAGATTACTACCTGGGTAATCTAATATCGACATGGCTACAGGTTCCCATGTTTTGTCTGCTTGAACCATAGACTGTAAAAAAAGATGGACGACGCCTGTTCGCTCTTCTCCGTTGGAGAGAACTGAAGCCGCCAGTGTCCCGATATGGCGCTGACATATTGGAACTTGATGTGACAAGAAGAATGGCTCAACTTAATAAGTCTTTCCAGTATTGAATGAATTATATTTATTATAGTTGCCATCTTGGATTAACTTTTAAATAATGCATTATGGAATTGCCCTCACTGTGAAAAATAAATGCAATGCTAGCTTAGAATTTGGCCAAAAGAAGGAATTATATGAGGCAGAACAATAAAGTTGCATATCTTTTGGAACAGCAATACCTTAAAATGCTGCCTAATGAGGCAACTTACTAGGTTTTGGAACAGAGATAATGTTCACACATCATATCATAATAAGCATCCAAAATCTGCCAAACGGCAAAAAAAAAAAAAAAACTTACATAAGTCAAATGGCCAAAATCAAGTTCATCCACATAAGGAAAAGTTTAACAAGTCATTTTGGTATACAGCTTCACCACTGTATAACCACAACTGGCAGCATCCACGAGTCCTGACCCTCAGTATCTCATGAAATGACATGTCTAGTGGTTTGAAAGACATAACCATGACAAACATTTCCAGATCCATGAGTCTAATAAAAACGACACTGTGTAATCAGCACTGCCGATCATTAATAAATCCATTTCATGTGAATTCAGGTTGAGGCCAGTTTGTGCTTCCAGGATGGCTGAGTCATCGTTATCTTATTCTGTTTTCCTCATATCTCTGTCAGGATGACAAAATGACAAACCACAACTCACGTTCATCTTAACTACATGCGATTAAACTTGTAGGTCGTTTCCTCGACAAAAACGTCTTTGCTGCATTGTTTCACGTGGGATAGCTGTGGAAAAAAAGATCTTGATGAATGAATCAAACTATGGAGAATAAAAAGAGCTGTGATTGATGATGGTACCTTTAAAAAGTTGTCAAAGGTCCCAAACATGCTCTATTCATGGGTCTCTGCTGGGAGGCCTAATCTTATTGTAAGCCACTCTGTACAGGCCAACACTGAGGCCAAGCAGAGGAGTGAGAAAGTCAGAATGAAGAGAGAATGAGATGAGACATGATGGATAGAGGCCTGCCCCAGAGATGCAGATGGAGAAACCTTCCCACTGTCTTGTCTCGGTTTCTTTATTAATCCATCAAGTCAGAATGGTAACAGAAGCCAGCAAAGGACAACGTCTTTTAACTTTTTACAGTTGCTCGGCTCTGAAACTCACAGTCTGATACGCTGCCCTTTGTGCAGATGTTAAATCTGTCAGAGCTGGAAAAAGTGGTATGTCTTTAATAGGGATAGGGAAAAAGAGGGGGGGGGTAGTAAACCAGAACATGAAGATGATTTGAAGCATTTAAACATTTAAATATAAAATCAAGCCTGAAATGAATAAAATACAGCTGCAAAATCATGCAGTTCCTGTCTGTTTTACTGTTACCAAGTTATAAAGCACAAGTTATTGCATCCTGCCTTTATATAAACTTTACAGTCTTTCAAAAACCGGACACAGTATCTGTGAAGTGTTAAGGATATCAAACTACTAAAGGTCTCCTGATGCCAGGAATGTGGCTGATGCTATTTCCCATGTGCACAAGCATCACAGCTGTGTGAGATGTTGCATCCATTTAAATGAAACACCCATAGATATATGGATATATTCCAATTTCGATACATATTTGTCTTGTCTTGCTTGTATTTGTTTGGCTTTTAAAGTCTCAATATCAAGAGAAGAGCAAGAGTATGCTGTATATATACCTGGTTTCCGAGTATAAAAATATTTATTTATTTTTACGCAACCACAAAATTATCATGATTTTGTTTATTATTTTGTTATTATTATAAAAAAAAAAAATTACTGACATTTTGAAAATAAAAAATCTGGATGGGAATTAGTACTGGTCAAATAACTGCAGCTGAAAACACAGAATAGAACACAGAACAGCCTATGCTTTTTTCCCACGACTAAGATGAGACGATAACGAGACAACAATAGGGTCATTAAACAATAATTGTGACTATTTCAACATTCAATATCATCGACAAAAAAAAGACGAGACTGCAAGCAGTACAAAAAATAAGAACTTTTTGTTGAAAAAAAAAGAGAAAGTTTGTGATTGATGTCAAGTGTTTAAATCCCCCAATCAGAGTTTTTTGTTAAAAGGAACGATTTACTGCCCGGTGATTTACGTAATATTTGCAATCTAGCAACCCTGTGCATGCACTCTCTCTCTTTGTCAAAGTATTCTTTGGAAATTCATCTTTTGTGTTCCATGGGAGGAAACAACCTCATATGGGTTTACGACATAATGAGTAAACGATGACAGGATTTTCCTTTTTGGGTGAACTACTTCTATAAAATCAACAGCAAGTGCACTTGAGCAAAGCAGTAATTTTCATTGCTTCCCAAATGCTGAAACAATGATAACCATTTCATATTTATATACAACAATGACATATTAAACAAGCCAATGGGAGGTTCAAGCCTCACTCTGCTCTTGGACCTCCAGCTCAGTTTTTATCTATATGACTGTTTCTCTATCCGCAGTAGATCTGCCATGTACAGATCCTGCCTGCTTCTCGCCACAGACAGTCTATTCGCTCAAGGGAATGTGACATCTATCAGCACAAAGACTGGTCGTTGAAATACACATACAGTATAATACCCTTCATAACCTCAGCTTGTATATAACGTAGCATTCAGTTTCTTAACACAAACTATGTTAATGATGGTTCCATCCTGAAGGACTCATCATAGTCTTTAGAGTGGATCACCGCAACATATCCGTTTTGGAGAATTTCCGAACTTGCCTCAAAAGACGAGCCGTTTCTTTCCTAGTCACCTTAGTACAAATAATGGCAAAATGGTGTCTGTTCAGACGTAACACTGAGATGAGGGTTATTAGCTAAATGAGAAAAAGGCAAAGAGTGCAAGGACTTTTTGAGAAATACAGGTCCTTCTCAAAAAATTAGCATATTGTGATAAAGTTCATTATTTTCCATAATGTAATGATAAAATTTTTACTTTCATATATTTTAGATTCATTGCACACCAACTGAAATATTTAAGGTCATTTATTGTTTTAATACTGATGATTTTGGCATACAGCTCATGAAAACCCCAAATTCCTGTCTCAAAAAATTAGCATATCATGAAAAGGGTCTCTAAACGAGCTATTAACCTAATCATCTGAATCAACCAATTAACTCTAAACACCTGCAAAAGATTCCTGAGGCTTTTAAAAACTCCCAGCCTGTTTCATTACTCAAAACCGCAATCATGGGTAAGACTGCCGACCTGACTGCTGTCTAGAAGGCCATCATTGACACCCTCAAGCAAGAGGGTAAGACAGAAAGAAATTTCTGAACAAATAGGCTGTTCCCAGAGTGCTGTATCAAGGCACCTCAGTGGGAAGTCTGTGGGAAGGAAAAAGTGTGGCAAAAAACGCTGCACAACCAGAAGAGGTGACCGGACCCTGAGGAAGATTGTGGAGAAGGACCGATTCCAGACCTTGGGGGACCTGCGGAAGCAGTGGACTGAGTCTGGAGTAGAAACATCCAGAGCCACCGTGCACAGGCGTGCCGCATTCCCCAGGTCAAGCCACTTTTGAACCAGAAACAGCAGCAGAAGCGCCTGACCTGGGCTACAGAGAAGCAGCACTGGACTGTTGCTCAGTTTTGCATGTCATTCGGAAAACAAGGTGCCAGAGTCTGGAGGAAGACTGGGGAGAAGGAAATGCCAAAATGCCTGAAGTCCAGTGTCAAGTACCCACAGTCAGTGATGGTCTGGGGTGCCATGTCAGCTGCTGGTGCTGGTGCACTGTGTTTTATCAAGGGCAGGGTCAATGCAGCTAGCTATCAGGAGATTTTGGAGCACTTCATGCTTCCATCTGCTGAAAAGCTTTATGGAGATGAAGATTTTATTTTTCAGCACGACCTGGCACCTGCTCACAGTGCCAAAACCACTGGTAAATGGTTTACTGACCATGGTATTACTGTGCTCAATTGGCCTGCCAACTCTCCTAACCCTGAACCCCATAAAGAATCT